TTTGTTATGGTTAAATACCTGTTCATCTACTTTTTATAAAGACAACAGTTTTTCATATGATTAAATGGCTCCATCCTGCGACGCCCAAGGTAAGAGGTATAAAGGCTGTATTCAAATTATTTACTCTTTAAACTTTAGTTATGTGATTTTAAATACTGTTTCCCTTACTGAATTTAAATGAAATTCATCCCTAGTCCGTGCCTCCTAGGTGTTAAGAAAGTTGAGGGTTTGCTCTCTAAATCACCTTTTGGAGTTCAGGTAAATCCAGTTCCAGACTCTTGATAATACTTTGCAACATAATTCGAGTACAATAGTTACTCTGCACTCTGATGCAGTTTCCTATAAAGATCCTACCTTGTATTTAATTTCTATCTTATGGCCTTATTGTAGGGAATTGAACTCAGAAGGTTGTAAGAGATTTCCTAATTTCGCTTCAATGTCAAAATTTTATTTTGCACTCGTATCTATTTAAGTACTTGACTCCTTTTTACCTTTTAAGTATTTGGGACGTCACAAAATAGTAGGTGGAATTTAAAGATTTTACAAAAGTCTTTACTTTATGGAATTCTTTAAAGACATCCATAACATAAAATAGTAGGTGGAATTTAAAGATTTTACAAAAGTCTTTACCTTGTGGAATTCTTTAAAGACATCCACAACATCCTCTTTCGCAACAAGCTAGAAATCTTGAAGGACTTTCATGTTAAAACCGTCGGGCCTTGGAGCTTTCTCGTCATTGTTCTCCTTCAGGCCTTCTAAAAGAAAACTCCTCTATATCAATCCTTCTGGCTTCGTCTAGCTCTTGAACTGAATCCCATCAAGCTTGGCTCTTTTGCTGAATTCTTCTTCATACAACTTCTAATGAAACTTTTTGGCTTATTCCTTGAGATTCACATTACATTGTATGCTCCTCTCATCTATAACTAATTCTTCCATATAATTATGTCTTCTTCTGTTGCTAGCCAGACAATGTAAGAATTTTGTATTCCTATTACCTTCTTTAATCCACTTCTCTCTCGCCTTCTGTCTCCAAGACATTTCCTCCCTTTGAAGCTTGTTGGCAATCTCTATCCTTAACCCATGCAACCTTTCCCTCTCTCCCCGAGTCAATCCATTCTCTCCTTTAATTTATCTAAAGTCTCGAGTTACTAAATCAGAACATTCGTTTCTTGCTCTTCCACTAGGTCTTCAATCTTTGTCCGCTTCTTGGTCTCGATTTTCAATAGATCAGATGGTTAGTAACATTCACTTCTAGATAAAACTTGAAGAATGCTTCTAAGGGAGTTTTAAAGTTTAGAACATTGGAGGATAAATGGTTAATAATATAGGTGATTAGAAGGATTGTTTCGCCCAATATTGTCTTGGGACATGGTTTTGGAAGAGGAAGACTCTAATGGTGGCTAGAAGATGATTATTTTCGCGTTTTGCTATTTTGTTTTGTTGTGGAACATGGATGCAAGATGATTCATAAATAATTCTTTCTTAGTGGAAGAATGATGTGAGTGTGTAATTTGTCTTTGACATTGTTAGTGTGAAATCTTTTTATACAGGTTCTAAATTGGGTTTTTGTTATGTTGCAAAACTAGAGTATTATATGGTTAACATCATATTTAATTTTAAGTAAGAAAAACCAAGTGACTCTAGTGTAAGCATCTATAAATGACATAAACTAAACGAGTCCCAAATTGTTTATATGTGTCAGTTTGTTTCCAAGTATCACTACGGATTAATAAAAATGAAACTAAACTTCTTTTATTACTAATAGGAAATATTACTTGCTTTTGTCTGACAAACTTGCATACATTGCAATGTAAATTTTCATAATTTGAATTCTTAAATAATAAAGGAAACATAACCTTTAAAATAGAAAAAGATGGTTGACAAAATCTTTTGTAGTATAGCTAATGCTTTTGTATGCGGTTGGTACTAACAACAGAGAGAGATAAACCAGGTGCTTCCAAATAGTAGAACCCATTTTTGGCTTCAGCACATCCAATTATCTTTCCCAAGTCCTGGTCCTAACAACCATGATGAGAAGAGAGAAATGTTGCTTTGCAGTTCAAATCTTGTGGTAGCTTAGTGGCAGATGCAAGATTGGTATACAATTTGAAAACATGCAACATATTTTCTAAAACCAGAATAGGACTAAGTTTAATATCGTCCTTGCCTGTAATCATGTTGAGAGAACTATTTGCAGTGTCAATTTTTCTATTACTTAGATATGAAACATATATATGGAAATGTTTAGAAGTATTGATTATATGATATGTGGCTTCTGAGTCTATAATTCTTAAATTTTCAGATGATTTATTTGAGACATCTAAATCATGTAAGAAAGAAATATACATGAAAGTTCTATTACACCTGTCTAGTGGGTTTCTCAAGATCCTTTAACCGACTTTGCAGTCGTTCAATTTTAACTGTGAATGCAGTGAGATCAATAGACTTCTCTTTTTCTTGCTAGTTGACTCGTGAACCTATCTGGGAGACTCATGTGAGGTAGTTTTATATTCCTATTCGCACTAAACTTCTTTCATTGTTAATAGAAAATGTTACATACTTATGTTTGACAAACTTGCATATAACACAATGCAAATTTCCGTAATATGAATTTTTGAATAACAAAGGAAATATGATTTTTAAAATGGAAAAAGATGGGTGGCCAGGTCTTTTGTAGTATAGCCGAGTCTTGTATATGGGGTCGGTAATAATAGTTGAGAAAGATCACCCAGGTGCATTCAAGTAGTAGAGTTCGTTTCTAATTTCAACACACTCAATCATCGTTTCCGAGTTCTGCTCCTAAAAGTTAGTGAGAAGAGAAAAATGTTGGTTTGTAGTTTAAATCTTGTGATAATTTAGTGAATGACACAAGATTGATACAAAGTTTAGGAAATACAATACATTTTTTAGGATTAGGGTGGAACTAAACTTAATGGTGCCATTACCTATGATTATATTGAGAGAATTATATCCAAAGACAAATTTCTTACTATTTAGACATGAAATATTTGTATAAAAATGTTTAAAAGTATTGGCCATATGATTTGTGGTTTGTGAGTCTATAATTCATGAATTTTCAAATTGTTTATTTGAGGCATCTAGATTATGTGAGAAGGAAAATATACATGAGTGCTTTTTTGCACCTGTACCAGTGGGTTTTTTAAGATCCTCTAATCGAATTCACAATAATTCAGTTTCAACTTTGAATGTAATGAGATCAGTAGACTTCTCTTTCTCCTACAGGTTGATCATATGACCCCTGTATCCTCATTTCTTAATAAACGTTTATTGTTTTTGACAAGAAATATTACATGTTTATGTTTGACAAACTCGCATGTACGGTAATATAAATTTTCATATTATGAATTCTTAAAGGGAAATGAAAAAAATGGGTAGCTAAGTGGCCAAAGTTTGTTTAGGGTCGATGGTAACAATAGAAAGAGATCCGCCAGGTGCATCCAAGTAATAAAGTTCATTTTTGACTTTAGCACATCCAATCATCTTTGTTGAGTTATGGTCTTGAAAGTCATAGTGAAAAGAAAATTTTGCAGTTTAAATCTTGTGATAGCTTAATTATTGACTTAAGATTGATACACAATTTAGGAATATGCAACACATTTTTTAGAATTAGGATAAGACTAAGCTTAATGTTGCCGTTGCCTGTAATGATGTTGAGAGAACTCCAGTTTCAATCTTCCTACTACTTGAACATGGAACATATTTATGAAATTGTTTAGAAATATTGATCATATGATTTGTAGCTTTTGAATCTATAAATCCATGAATTTTCAGATGATTTGAGTGCTTTACTACAGTTGTGCTATTAGGTTTCTCAAGATCCTCTAATGAACTTTGCAGTCATCCAATATCAGCTTTAAATGCAGTGAGATTAGTCGACTTCTCTTCCTCCTAGTGGTTGACCATATTAACCTGTTTGTGAGATTTTTGTGGGGTAGTCTTATATCTTCGTATCTTACTAGAGGTATTGGGATTACCATATAGTTTTCAACATTTTCTTTGGTGTTTCTAAGTTTCTTGCAAAAAGTACATTAGGGATAAGATTATCCCTGTTATCCAATCCAAGAGGTGAGCTCTCAGTATGGCTCAATTCCTTTGTTGACGAGGTTTAGAGTCTTGTGAGACCAAGACTGAGCTGAGTTCTCAGTGTGGCAGTCATAACAAGATCTCCAAAATCCTCAATGCCCTGGTCATCAATGCCTTCTAGCAGTAAAGGTGGCTGCATCCTTGCCCATAATGTTCATTGCAATCAAAGCAAAGGCCCTTGGAATGTCAATCCTCCATCCTGCCCAAGATAGTCCCTTCAAAAAGGGACATCGAAGCAAACCCTAGTAGGGTCGTCATCCCTTTGATTCTTCCCTTTCTTGTTGTAGTTTGATAAGCCTTACAAAGCTTCCTTCTGGACTTATAACACGTGGCCTGACATTAAATGGATTGTGCTGTGTGCTAATATGACAAAGACAGACATGAATAATTGCTGGCACAAACGTGATATGACACAACACCTTAAAGGGCGCAATACCTTAAATGGACCATCCTGCATGACACAGACCATTGTATACCAACTTGTGTTAGTAGTGTGCTTGTGTAAGCTTCAGTCTTAAGGGATAGAGATGTAGAATAAAAAGATATTTCTCATATAGTCTTGTACTATAAAATCAATTTTATATTTATTTTAGAGTAATTTTATATATAAATAGTTTCTTGTTCTTCTCATTGGAATTTCTACAAATCTCCATGCAGTATTTCATTATGGTAGGAATATTATACAATACAGAAGTAAGTTAACTTATCAGGAGTAATGAAGCTAATGTTTCTCATTCGTGTGCAAGTAATCGTAAATTTAAAGTCATCCTCTACTGACTGCTATTTTGAAAAAGAAGAAACAGTTTATTTATTTAATCAACAGGGTTGTAGCTCCCAAGGCTTTCTTGATTAATCTTCTTTCCCGTTGCTAAAGGTCTATTTCCTTTTTGATACAGGATGTTATTGTTCATAAATCACTTTGTATACTGCATAAGTTGTTGAATAATCTTTTGGCACTGGAAAGGAGATCTGAAGTTAGGTATAGCTTGCACCTCCTCTCATTCTTTTCCTTATGTTTCCTTATCTTGTGGTTTGACTAAGTTAAATTGAGTGCCTTAGACTGCTTCTGGTCGTTCATTTTGGTCATTTGGTAATGTTAATACTCTGGAATGCACGTTAGTCAGTTTTAGTGTGCCATGATGATAATTTTTTGTTTGTTTATGCTTGAACTGATTACTTAAGTGTCATCTCAAAAAACTTTTGCCAAACAAGTTTCTTTGGGGTATAGTTGATCTTTAGTTGCCAGTTTCAAGTGGAAACAATGTTGTATTCTAAGGTTTAGTTGTAGCTTTTTGCTAGTACCTAATTTATTTATGGTATGTATGATTGTATTTATATATAGTCTTATCTAATCAAATTGATATATTTAAGGAGATGTAAGTAATATGTAGCTGGATCTTCTTTCTAGATGTAAATTATCTTCTACGTACCAAAATCTTATTCTGTGAACTTATTCAGGACTGATGACTTTTGACTAGAACTTTGTGGATATATGGTCAGAAGAAGATTTTATGGATAGTTAGTCATGTGGTTTGTTTCTTAGATTTCCTTTATATTGTGAGCTTATGAACTTTGACTTGATCTTTTCAGTGAACTCTACTCAGGAACAATGTCATTGTTGAGGAACTTCACTCCGTGACCAGCACTGATCATTTTCATGGATTTGAAAGTATAAAAAGGTCGAATTGCATAGGTAGTGAAGGGGCATGTAATGCAAGCGATTTTTCATTTGGAGTATGGCCTAATGCAGAAACTTCATACAAAAAGAGATCCTGGGAAATTGGCAATGCTGCAATACCACTTTATTTTGTAGATTGGATCTCTCTATTTGAATCAATCCATCAGATTGCCCTGAGAAGTACTGAGGAACATGTGAGATTAGAAGCACTCTCAATCATGAATGTGATTCTAATGAGAACTAATGCATCCACGGAGAGGGAAATGTAAGTTGATGATATTATTTTTGGCTTTATATTCTAATTAGGGGATTTACTTCCTTGGTTCTTGAAGAATGTTTTGCTTGACTCAGGTTTGGGCACAAAAAAATATTTGAAGGCATTGCGCTGCTGTTAAGCAAGGGAAACTGGCTTATGTGTGAGAAAGGAAGCTGTGCGCCTTCTGTACCTGCTGCTAAATTGTAATCCTAAATTGCCTTCCCTTTTATTCTTAATTTCTTCTATTTAATCGTGACATGAGTCATGAGTGCTTTACACAATTAGATTGGACTTCCAAGTTCTCTTCTACTATGTTTAAATTGTACTCTTGATTGTCAGTTACTGTTAATAAGACTTCAAAAGCTTTGTTTAAGGCCTTCTAGAAAGCCTCATTTGGTTTGTTCAGTGTGGTAATTGATGTGCTAGTAGATTGGTGGTGCATCTCTCAAGTGCTTGGAGTAATTTAGGATCTTTCGGTGCCTGAAGGTGGATGTCACAGCCCTGTGTCTAGGATTGGGTCAAGGAGCCTTCCATCATGAAGTCCTTGAGCAAGCTAGAAGCCCGGTTCCTCGATTTCTAGCCTTGACAGCTTTTGGTTAGGCTCATATAAGAGAGCCTTGAATCTTGGGTAAAACTCTGAACTTTTAGGTTGAGTAGATCATAATTTTTTTTATTATGATAGGCATATTTGTAGGGAAGCTATCTGAGTTAGAGTACTATTGTACAACCAGGACTCTTACACCCTGTTCTACTGAACTTCCTGATAAAAAGTTTATTAAAACTTCTTCCTAAGTAAGACTCTTAAAATAAATCATCCTAAACAGTCCTAGATCCTCTTTTCCTTAGCTGCCACTAATTCCTTTGCATGGATTCTGTGGAATAATATTCTTGTGAACCTCCTTGGCTTGTCAGCAGCAGGGTCTTGTGACATTTCTCCCCTCCCTGAGATGATTGTTGTCCTCAAGCGCATAATGTGGATGCTGCAACAGTATGTTCTCTTCTTTTTGCCATGAAGCATTTGCTGGTGAGAGACCTCTGAGGATTCAGTAACTTATGTTTTACAACAACTTTCCACCACTCCAATATAGCCTTTATTGTATTCCCAATGAGGGGCCCGGGGCAAGGACAGTTAAACCAGCTTATTCCCAAACAAAGTTTTTAAGTAGGAGACACGGAAATGCCTACTAGATATGTGCTCCTTCTGGTAGAGCCAATTGGTAGGTCACTGTTCCTATTTGTTATATGATTTAATAGGGGCCATAGAAACAGGGCAACATTTTCAAATAGTGGTGGTAGCCCAAGGATACTTCCCTATAGTGTTCTTCCAATAATTGGTTTACTTCACTATAGAGTTCTTCCAATAATTGGTTTACTGATTTAATTATTTATGTGGAATTAGAGAAAGAGGTCAAAATGTCTTGGAAGCTCATAGCTCCTTTTCCTAAGAAAAGGCTCTTTTACAAATTAAGTTAGGCTGTGTTTCACTTGCATCAGTTTGAGTTTGTGTCAGTGTACTAAGCTTGGTGTCAATTGCTGTGTAATGCATCCTGTTAGAATAGAATATTCATTTTCCAATTAGTTTAATCTTTTACAACAGGTCATCAAGCCTAGTTATTTAATAGAGACATGAAACTGTGTCTCCGAGGCTCACCCTTTGTCAGGTTGGGATTGTTATATTTTTGTCAGTTAAAGCTTTTCTTATTGTTAGCATTATTAGTTAGATGCTGTTAAAGCAAGCTTGAATCTCGGAAACTCACCCTTACTATTACCTATTTGTTGTCCATAGTTCGATATTTGTGCAAATTGGTGTTTTATTTTCATCCATTTGAATTTATGTTTATGTGCTTAGCTTGGTATCCTCAAGCATGCGAGGCAATCTATAAGAGTATAAATAATGAAGTTGAGTATCTTCAAATTAATTTAAGCTTTTTTAGACTATTGGTTACCCTACCTGACAGAAATAATTAGGTTTCCTCTGATTATTTTCAGCTTTCTCATTTTGGATTTCTTGTTTTTGATTGGCTATGGTTGTGTTGTCTTCTTGCAAATTGCAATGTCTGTGAGAGGGCATACGGGCTTAGGGTTTCTATTGCTAAGATTGGCATTGTAAACATATACAAGGCAACAGGCATGTACATTCTTTTGCTGGGAAATGAATGGGGGTGGGGGGGTTACAGTTTTAATGGATCTCTTGTTGGCATAAGGTAGTCAACTGTAAGTGTGGCTGGGAAAAAAGAACGGGTGGGTTGCCAAGGAAGATAGTTTATTCTGCTTCCAAAACATGATTGGGCTGGGGATGCTTCTTTTTATCTACATTTTCCTAAGAGTTTCCTTCTCTATTTTCACAAAACCTTAATCTATTCTCCATGAGTTAAATTCATGGGTGATTAGACCTCAATTTCTTTGGAGATCTTCATGGTTTTGTAGAAAATAAGGAGAAATTAGGTTGTATATTTTCTATTTTTTTTTAGTAGCTGTAGATTCTGTGTACAGAGGGAGTCACAAACAGATTTCCTCCTCCCCATAAAATTGTTAGGATCTTGTTACAATTTGTTATGTTTGTTAGCATTTAGGGTGTGTAAGTACCCATCATTCATGATGGAAATATATGAGGAGCAACATTTCCTCTCAAATAGCTTCAGGTTTTTTAAGAAAACAAGACTTCCTTAAAAAAAAAGGATAATACGAATTCTGGCTTTTGTGCTTCCTTGTTTCTTGGAGTGATGTTGGACTCAAGGAGGAAAATTTTCAACTAGTATAAAACAAGAGCTATATTGCACTCCCTTATAAGCCAACCAGGGTTGGAGGGCTCTTGTCTACGATCAAACCCCTTGAATTCCTAGTTTATTGCATCTAAACCCGTCCTGAAAGAACTTGGACTAGTTTCTCATTTTTATTCGATCAATTTAATGAAATACATCCTATGTAATATGGATCCTGTCCTAGTTTGTTGCATTCCTACATGGAGATCTGTAAGAAGAAATCTAGATGGAGACACTTAATCAAAGAAAAGGTTTTGGTTTATAATATGTATCCCATACATGCGATCAGTTCACAGTTTGCCGACGTGTTAACTAAAGGCCTGAATGATCCAGTATTCCAAGTTATGGACAGTATCTATTCCCTAACTTGAGGGGAGTTTTGAAGAGTTTATGTAATTAGGTTAAAAGACATTAGGATAAAATATATCCTATGTAATTAATGTAATTAATGGTTTTTTTTTTCTATTCTAGAAAACTTATATATATAGAACTATAATTTTTAGTAAAATATATTTTCAACCATTTTTTATCCGTTCCTATAACTTTGGACTTCTGGTTCCCCGTAATTTTCTTCTAAGCTTGTTTGCTTACTGTGCCCTGCCTAAACTTATTGACCTAGTAGACATAGGGTTGAATAAAGCTTGACCTGAACTGAACTTCATCTCAAAAAGCACGAGTTTTCTACTCACGTTTTCTCAGTTTCCTGGCTGTTTCTAGAGTTTGAGATTGATGGGTAATTTATAACTGTTTTTCATGTCTCCAATTTTTTCCTGACAGCTTTTTTTTCTTTTTTTTTTTCTGTTGAAAACAAGGTCCCAAACTTTTGGTCATGTTTAGCTCTGGTTATAAGGGTGAAAATCCAAGTGCTGAAGATGACAGAGAGGAAAGTGCTTCAGCTTTTAAAGGATTTGATATGATCCTCGAGGGCTTCGCAGACTGTTTAGCCTCCTCGAGTAATAGTGTAAAGGTAGCCTGCTGCTAAAAGTTTATACATTCTCAATTTTGTATCAGATTGATTTTGTCCATATGACTGTTAGTATTGTTGATTCCTGTTAATTTTGTTGATGAACCTAAATCTCAGTCTGAATGATTGGACTAAGGCGTTGAATTTTGGGGTGTCGAGTGTGTCTTAACATTGTTATTTGATGAAAACCAATGTTAGCTTTCTCCATTTTTTGATATGTTCACAGAGAAAATACCATTGGTAGAAGTTCATAATTTGAGCAAAGACATGTTTTATACATATTTTCGTATGCTACTTTCTATACTGTTGATCATGTCTTTTATGTAAATATTTTGTTACGCTTGTAAATTCTCTTTCTTGGTTACCAATAAAAATAGTAATAATATATTTCAAAAAATAAAAATACTAAAATAAATTTAAATATTTCCATGTTTTGCTTAACTATTTTGTTCCTTTGATTAGGCCAATGTCTGGTGTGGTGGTTCTCCTTGTAATTTGTTTATCAATGTCGAGAAGAATTTTGAACAGTTACAAACTTTTTTTATTGAGAATTTACTTGTGGGCGCATGCTTTAAAGATCTGCTGATCTCTTCACCTCTAGGATCTTTTCTTGAAGGTTGGAATTATAATCCAGTTATCTCCAGTTAAAAACTTAGGTGCCTGGAACCAGTAGGACAGTAATTAGTCCCTTTCTTCTTGTTCTCAAATGTTGGCTCATTGCTTTCCTTCTAAACGTTTCTGTTCACGTTGTTTGCCACTCTTTACACACCTATTTTTCCTTGTTGTAACTATTATAAACAAAATCTAGGGAGCACCCATGTGGTGCAGTGGCAAAGTGTCTCCAGTACGGAGTTTTCTTGTTCGGTGTTGAGTCTTGATCTTTGTGAATGCTGCTGGCAGTAGCCAAAAGTGAAAAAGAATCTGTCTCACAATCTTAACTGATTGGACTTTCAGGAGCTGGACCTTTGCAGAAATGTTATCATTGTGCTTGCTTTCTTAGCCTCATCTGGAAAATTTGGTTTTGAAATTCTAGTGGTTCACAAGCTATCAAGAGACAGAAATTTTCTACTGCTCATACTACAAATGTTGATATCAGAGACAGACATGGAATCAACCTTGCAGAGTGAATCTGCGGGGATTTTTGAGAAAAGGTTGGTGAAATGGGTTTATATATTCTAATGCCTCCAAATTGCCGACACTGGCTCTGGCTTTTGTTTGGTGTGGTGGTTTGCATGTCCATAAGTTAGAGGCTTACATTTTTAATATACATGTTTCAAACCAGTAAACTTCATATCTTCATGATGGGCTATTACTATTGTTTTTATTCTTTGTACATGCCAAGGTAGTTTTTTTTAAAAGACCTCTTGCATTAAGTTTGACAACATTTATTTCCTCCAAAAAAGTTTCAAGAACATTTTTATGATTTTCTTACCATGCAGCACAGCTTATGGTTTGAGGTC